TCCTGATCAAAAAAGTTTACATACCCTGGAATGTTTAGCCTTGGTACAGACACAAAGTGACACACACAGGGTCAAAATGGCAATTAAAGATTGATTTCTCACTTCTGTGGCTTTTTAATTGCAAATGTCTGTGTATAAATATTCAGAGAGTTTTTTTAACTCACACATGGGTGCACTGAGCAGGCTAGATACTGAGCTATAGGGAACAGAAAAACTGTCAAAACACCTGCATAACAAGGTAATAGAACTTTATAAAGATGGAAAAGGATATAAAAAGATATCCAAAGCCTTAAATATACCAGTCTGTACTGTTCAATCACTTAAGTGGAAAATTCTTGGATCTCGATACCAAGACAAGGTCAGGTAGACCAAGAAAGTTTGCAGCCGCAACTGCCAGATGGTAACCCCAGGAAAAATACAGGCTACTTTGGGGGGGGTAGGACGTTAAGATTGTTAAGGAGCACAATACGCCAATACTTGGAACAAAAATGAGCTGCACGTGTGTTTTAGTCACACACGTGCAATCCCCATACTCAGGAGGGATAGCAGAATGTATTTTGGGGAGTTATTCTAAATATGCCTATGCTGTGTGTGAGAAATAACTTGCTAAAATGGAAACTTTGTGAAAAAAAAAAGTTATTTCATTCCCTAATTTTCCAGAAAATTTTAACCAAAAAAAAAAAAAAAAAATATCACAACTTCAAACTCGCTATGCCTCTTACTGACTATGTTTGACTGTTTACTTTGCAAAAAGATGTAATTGGGGGGGAGAGGGGGGGGGGGGGGTTTAACTGTCCTGGCATTTTTTAGAGTCTCAAGAAATGAAGAGATGGGCAGGCAGCACATCAGAACTCATCCTTTGTCAAATACTGTGTGTGTGTGTATAAATAAATAAATATCAGTTTGTAGACTAACTTTCACACAGACTAATATACACAGATTTGGGCTATTTTTACCAAAGAAATGTAGCAAAATACACTGTGGCCTAAATTTATAAAGATTTGCACAATTTTGGCCATGACCAGACTGGAGGAAGGACAGAATAGGTCTAGGATGACAGTTCCTAGACTTTCCACTATGTAGGTCCAGGTGTAATGATCAACTTTACAAGAAGTCGACCTCCTAGCTTTCAAGAGTGTAGGGATGATTGAATCTGAAAGGCCCCTGTTCCTCGGCAATGTGGATTCAACAGCCATGCCATTAAAGTGGAATTCCAGGTTCCAAGCATATAATGGCTCCTGCCCCCCTTCTGACTCCTATTCTAAGTACCCTGTTGAAGGAAGATTCTTACACCTACCTTTTCTCAGGGCGCTCCAGTCCGGTCACATGATCAGCTCTCGGTGGAGGTTTCAGGGGAGAGGAGGGACAGCCAACAACGGATACCACATAGTAAGCCTATGGGTGACATCACCGTCCAGGCATTCCAGCCTGTGCCGGCACGCTCTCCTCTGAATGAGAACCTTCGTGGGTGAGAACCTTCTTCCCTCAGCCAAGGCATTGAAAATGGGTCATGGATGGGTGTTCCAGCATGACAATGACCCAAAACACATGGCAAAGGCAATAAAGGAGTGGCTCAAGAAGAAGCACATTAAGGTCTTGAAGTAACCTAGCCAGTCTCCAGACCTTAATCTGATTGAAAATCTGTGGAAGGAGCTGAAAGTTCAAGATGCCAAGCATCAGCCACCAAACCTTAAAGACTTGGAGAGAATCTGCCAAGAGGAGTGGGCCAAAATCCCTCCTGGAGATGTGTGCAAATCTGGTGGCCAACTACAGGAAACGTCTGACCTCTGATTGCCAACAAGGGATTTGCCACCAAGTACTAAGTCATGTTTTGTGAAGGGGATCAAATACTTATTTCCCTTATGAACATGCAAATCAGTGCATAATTTGTTAGACATGCATTTCTTTTGAATATTTTGTTGCTATTCTGTCTCTCACAGTATTACAATACACCTACCATTTGATTTTTAGACTGGTCATTTCATTGTGAGTGGGCAAACACTCAAAATACGGAGGAGAACAAAACAGTTCCTTCACTGTATATAAATCCTGTATAATAACCAGAAAAGCTACAATTTCTGGGGAAATTGTGTAAAGTGTTCTTGCCTCCACCAGTAGTCTACAATGTCAATGGGCGGCGTGAGTTGCAAACAAATGGTCATATTGTGAAAACTATCAGGACTATGGCTTAGCCGTGGACATTTTTAGTGGCAGCAGGGATAGCTGAATGTTTTGATATAAGATTTGTGTAGGTGGGCTTGAAAATGAGGGAGTGATGGCAGTTTAGAAATCATGTCCTGATTTTTTCGGCTCATACTCTAGCTTTTGTCACTCTGCTGCCTGCTCACACACCTGGGTTCCTATGGCAACTCACTCTACAGCAAGGGCAGAGAAGAGCGGTTAAAAAACAACTGCTCCAACTTGCTCACTTCACTGGCGATTGCCATCTTCAAACAGTTGTAGTTTAAAAATTATAAATCCTACACCGAAGAGCTTTATATTGTGAGAATCACAAGACCCAGACCTACATATTGATGCATAGTATGTCTCTGAAATATTAAAAATGAAGGCAGTGTCGCAGTTTAGATATTGCCCTTCAAATTTGAGGTGGCTAGAGTGGAGTTTCAATGAATGTCAATGGGCAGCGTGAGTTGCAAACAAATGGTCATATTGTGAAAACTATCAGGACTATGGCTTAGCCGTGGACATTTTTAGTGGCAGCAGGGATAGCTGAATGTTTTGATATACGATTTGTGTAGGTGGGCTTGAAAATGAGGGAGTGATGGCAATTTAGAAATCATGTCCTGATTTTTCAGCTCACACTCTAGCTTTTGTCAGCTCCCACTCTAGTTTTGAACATTCCGCCATTCATTCCTATGGGACCAATTTCAGCACAAAAACGCCAATATTTCGTGGACCATTCGGCAAAACGTTCCACAAAGTAATAGCACACGAATCGGGAACAATCCGCACGTTTTGGTATATTACTGTCTATGTAGTGTAAAAACTGTGGGAGGCGTTAGGGTGGTAAATTTGGCTATAATAATAAGAATATATATGAGCGATAACAGTAAGTGGTCTTGCCATGCAAGAACACTTAATAATAATAATAATAATAATAATAAAGTAGCGTCAATGTGACAGCCTGCACGGAAATGCACAAACACCTGTAACTCCCCATGCAGGTAAACACAGCCCTCCATGGGGGTACACTTTAGTACTCCCTTATGTGAACAACAAGACCTAAGCCAGTGACTGAGAAGCAGGATGGAACACTGGCCCTTGGTGCAGGAAAAACAGATGATCTAGAAAACTCCTAGACAGTCTGCCAGGTGCTCAAGTATGTCTAAATACAAAATCCTCCATATCCAACTTGGTGCAATGGCATTACCAAAATGCCCTCCCTCTCGATCCTGCACAAAAGCCAGGGAAGAATCTGGAGTGGTCAAAAAGGTATAGATCAAGTTAAACTAATCCAATGGTGTCACCCATTGTGAGGGTCCGGGGGTCGTGGACCTAGCAACAAACCTGTGCTTTTGTTGTTGAATATGGAAACCAGAAAAGTCTATATCTGGTGTCTCCCACCTGTGGCAAAGGGCTTCAAAGCCTATTCCCCCAGAACCAGACACTCATGACTGAGAAAGTCAATCTACCAATTTTCCACGATGGGCTCTGTACCAGGCAGTCCACGGCTCCGGTTCCATAAAGAATCCTGTGCCTAACTCCACATTCTGCACTGCATACCAAAGGAAGCAGCATGAGTTGCAAACAAATGGTCAAGCATCCACAGCAAGAACCAGTTCAAAATATAAAAATGTCACAAGGCCAGCCCAGCATCTTCCATTAGGAAGGGCCTGGGTATGGTCCAGCAAAGGGTTGCCAAGGCATCCACGGATCTGGAAGCTGGAGAATGAGCCTCAGTTGTTATAGTGCAGACAAGTGAGGAAATAATCCAGAATGAGATAAACCCTTCATAAACAAAGGTGGACTTCTCTCAGAAAGAAGCGGTCTACTATCTAAGGACACTTGCAAAAAACTGAGGCTAGCTGGGAGTGGGGGAGGGTTATATGTAAGGATGTCCCTTGCAGTCTTCTCCCCCCAAGTATCCAATCACCTGAACGTAGCTGCATATAAGTTGTAATAATTTAAAGAAGCTTATGCCCCGCAGAATACCATCAGGAGATTGGATTTTTATATTTAACCCCCCTGGTGGTATTCCCGAGTGTAGCTCGGGGTTAACTTTCAGTACCAGAAGCGGTAACCCCGGCTACACTCGGGATTACCCTGCAGAATTGCTCAGGGATCCCTCCAGCACTTACCTTGCCCTGCGATGTCCCCCCTGAAGCATCCCCGGCCATGTCCTTCGGCCGATGCCGGCATCAGGCTTCCGGGTTCCGTTCCCTGCGAGCGGCGGGACATAAACAGCCGGAAATTCAAAAATGTGACACTCACTACACTAAAATCTGATAGTATTTCATTACTGTATCAAACCATTTCACATACATTTTGTCCCTAATGCTTTGTCCTGCCTGCATTTTTAGTGTTCTTTTTGCCTGGAAACTGAGAAACATCCATAGCATCCAAAAAGCGTCCCTTCAGGTCAAAAGCGGTTTTAGAACAGCAATATTAAATTAGAACTACTATTCTGTGACTGAGCTCAGCGATATGCGAACTTGGCGCTCTATTTCAAACTTCAGTGTTTTAAATTTGATTACATTATTGAATTAAATGTTTTATTTTTTTATGATTATTTATTATATTATAATTTATGATTTTGTGTTTCAAATTTTATCGTACACGGGATGTTTACTAGACTCTTGTTTGGACAGATTTCAGTGAGTTATTCCTAAGAATTACAGGCCTACAATGAAAAAAAACATTTCCATGCAAAAAAATGTACCGCTTTGAGCACAGAACTACTGACATAATCAGACTGCTAGGGAGGTTAAGCAATATTGTGTAGTAAAAAAAAAAAAAAATAAAAAATAAAAACAACATACCTTTTCTTTATCACTGGCTTCCCGAGACACCAAGGAACCCTGAAGAAAACAAAAACGTAAAAGAAGTCTCAGAACACAAAATGTAAAGCGTCAGTTATTCCCTACCTCAATACTACTACCTGGTCAAGTTTTCTTTGCATGCTAAACATTGGCAAAGGGCAAAAAGTAAATATTATTATACAGGATTTATATAGCGCCAACAGTTTGCGCAGCGCTTTACAAAATGAAGGTAGACATTACAGTTACAATACAATTTGGTACAAGAGGAAACAGAGGGCCCTGCTCTGATTCTTGTTTTAAACAAAGACATTTCAAATCCCTCTTTAAAAAAAAAAAATAGGCATCAGTTATTATTTTAGCACATTTAGGAATTAATGAATTTCAAATACCCCAAGACAGACAGGGAGTGCAATTCCTCGTTGTGTGGTCATGTGACAGTCAAACAACTAAAGATGAATCACCTAATGTGTAGCTTTTTTAGTGGTAAATGTGATTATAGCTCCCGAATACAATTTGCTACTTTACAACTGAATTTAGGCATACTGGGCTCAATTCACATAGTGGTATCTTCTGCTTTACGAACTGAGGTAAAGTTTTCGCAAATTTTTTTGCAATTCAAAAATGCACTGAGATAACGCAATAACTATTTTATGAAGTGGTGCAGTATTTAAGTAGTGAAAGCTAGCAATATTTTAATGCCAGCAGTAGCAGTGAACATCACGGTTATTAAGGAGCTTGCGGCCGCCAGCATCCTTAATAACCAGTAAATATCATGGTTGTTAAGGAGCAGGTGGCTGCCACATCCTTAACCATGACTTATCGGCTGTCAGCAGGGTTGCTTGCCAACAGTAGAATGAAAACAAAAGAATTGCTGGCATTTAACCTCTTGTCCTCCTGAGGATTTACCCCCCCTTCCTGACCAGGTCACTTTTTGTGCTACAGTGCTGCATTACTTTAACTGACAATTGCGCGGTCATGCAACACTGCACCCAAATTAAATTTACGTCTTTTTTCCCCACAAATTGAGCTCTTTCAGTGGTATTTGATCACCTCTGCATTTTTTCAGAAAATAATAGTGCAAGAAAAGAAAAAAAAAAACACCCTAGAAGGAGATGAGGCTTCAGGTAATGTGCTCACCAGGACTTTGTACAAGGACTGTTCAGGCAATTCTACTTTGTTAGCAAGCAGTCGCCACACTTCCCAACAATTGAAGGCCATTCTATTTGGAGAATGTTTAGAAGCTAGGTGCAAATACTCAACTGAACAGGCCTTTGTGGAGAAAAGTAAAAAGGTATTGCTAGAAGACCAAAAGGATCAGGTGCATCTGGACCCCCAAATTTCTAGGAGCTTCCAGTTAGCATCTAAAAGTACAGGGCTCCCCTGCTGAACGAAACTTTTGATACTTTTGGTAAGAATATAGTAGGCATAATCAGAAAAAAATATACCCATTCTTCAAAAAGATTCATCATTAAGATATTAGAAAAATATATTTTTCAAGTCAGAAAGCCCTTACTCTAGGCTCTATATTATCTCAGAATCTTTATAACTCTTGGAGCAATAGAAACATATCTTGGCTTTACTATAAAAGGTTCTTAAAAATGTGTGGCTAAGTTTTGTAAGTACTGCAAACTTCATACAAAGAGAACACATTCAGTCTATGGCAGCTGGAAAAGTCTTTCCAATTAAAAATTATATCAACTGTGCTACATCTAATGTCATATACAATTCTTTGTACAATGTGTTTATTATAGTATGTAGGGTGTCCCCTGAGGATAATTGGAGAACATTACACAGCCACCACTAACGTTAATGCTAAAATCATCAATGGTCATGAAAGGGTTAGTAAATCTGTTAGGGGAGGTGATTTCCATATGCAAGAGGCATGGTGGATCCACAAGCTAAATACTTGAAAACCGAGAGGGTTAAATCAGTGATGGGGCACTAATTTGTTCTCTAACCACTTGAGATGCCGCTGCTCAGTTCAAGCCTACTCTTGGCATTCCTGTGTCCCATGCTGCCGTCTGCTGGATTTTACCTTCCTTGTTGCTATCAGCTATAGTCATGGCTAAAAATATTGGCACCCCTGCATTTCTGTGAAATAATGCACCACTTTGCCCAGAAAACTGTTGCAATTGCAAATGTTTAGGCATTCTGATATTTCTTTTGTTTATATTGGTATTACACAAAAAAAGCGGAGAAACAAAAAGCCAAATCTGACGCAAATCCACACAAAACATGGACTGGACAAAATGTATTGCCACCTTCTCAAAATTGTAAGAAGAAATTGCATTCCAAGTTTGTGATTCTCCTGTAATTTGTAATTAAACTCACCTGTATCAATTATCAGATCTTATTGTTCCTGTGTCCATTGATCGCAACATTGGCAAGAAGTTTACAGCCCATGGCACTGTAGCTAAATCTCCCTGGACATGGACGAAAGAAAACAAATTGATCAAAGGTTGCAACAAAGGATTGTTCGAATGATGGATAAAGAACCTCGAACTTCCAAAAATTCAAGCTGACCTTCAGGCACAGGGTACAATTGTGTCAGCTTGCACTATACGTTGCCATCTGAATGAAAAGGGACACTATGGTAGGAGACCCAGGAGGACCCCACTGCTGACACAAAAACATAAAAAAGCCAGATTGGAGTTGGCTAGACGAAACAAAATTACTGCTTTAGAAAAAGCAATGAGGCCTTTATAGAAAAGAATACAGTCCCTACAGTCAAGCATGGTGGAGCTTCACTGATGTTTTGGGTTTGCTTTGCTGCTTCAGACACTGGATGTCTTGACCATGTGCATAGCATTATGTGAAATCTGAAGACTACGAAAAGAAATCTGGGGTGCAATGTAGGGTCCAGTCTCAGAAAGTTGGGTCTCCTTCTGAGGTCATAAGTCTTACAGCAGAATATTGACACAAAGCACAATTCAGAAAGCACCCAGAAATGGTTTAAGAGAATGCGCTGGAGAGTGCTGAACTGGCCATCAATGAGTCCAGATCTCAATCCCATAGAGCACCTGTGGAGAGATCTCAAAACAGCAGTTGGGGAAAGGAACCCTTCCAATCTGAGAGACTTGGAGCATTTTGCAAAAAGAAAGTGGTCCAAAATTTCAGCAGAGAGGTGTAAAAAACATGGTTACAGGAAGAAATTGATTTCAGTTATTTTGTCCAAGGGATATGCTACCAAATATTAAATTGAGGGTGCCAATAATTTTGTCCAGTCCATTTTTGGGGTTTTGCGTGTAATGTGTCAGATTTGGCTTTTTGTTTCTCCACTTTTTTTTGTGTCATACCAATACATACAAAAAAAATAAACATGAGAATGCCTATTTTAATTGCAACAATTTTCTGGGCAAAGTGGTGCAGTGATAGAAATGCAGGGGTGCCAATATTTTTGGCTATGATTGTATTTGCCAGTGTTGCTCTGAGTTACGGTGTTTGTGACGTGCTAAATCCTCCACGTCGAGGCTGATTGAGTTTCTTAAATATAAGTGTGATGCTTTTTAAAAAGGTGTGTGGTGTTTGGTACTAACCTAGTGCCCCGCTTTACGCTCTTTCCTATGCTTCTTGTGAGCAGCGGTGAGTTCTTTTTATACACAGTTTACTGTACGTATACCACAGATGGAAAACCTTACAAATTTCAGTCAGCCTCACTTTGCAGATTGTTCATGCTCACATCTGCCTGAAAGCTAGCATAAGCCAATTATTCTGCATGATTATATACAGTAATATCTAGACCGCCCTCTCTTCAGACAAGTGGGCCATACACTTTTTACGACTTCCATGAACCACATTTACCTTAAAGTGGTATTAAGTTCAAAAGCATACATTTATTGTATTGTAGCTTGCCAATTCTTAGATGTGATAGCTGTATTCATTTTCTTTTTTAGGCATTCTTCTATTTTCATCTGCTGATCCACCCAGTAAGGGCTCGTTCACAACATAAATGCAGAAAAACTGATAGAAACTGATTTGATTTCACTTGCAGAGACATCAGTTTTCATACACCCTTCAATGAGTTTTATAAACACGTTGAAAATTCCTGTGCAGAAAAAAATCTGCACATGAAACTAATGCTGTGATGTGAACAGGGCAGAGAACAATTGATTTTGTTTTGCCCTTGCAGAACACATGCAGAAAACTGATGTCTCTGCACCAAGGTGTGAACAAGCCCTAAGTTTGTTGTTTTTTTTTTTTTAACCTCCCTGGAGGTATTCCCGAGTGTAGCTCGGGGTAAAATTTCAGTACCACAAGCGGTAACCCCGAGCTACACTTGGGCTTACAATGCGGCGTTGCTCAGGGATTCCCTGCAGCGCTTACCTTGTCCTTCGCTCCCGCGATGTGTCCCCTGCAGCGTCCCCAGCCAATGTCGGCATCCGGCTTCCGTGTTCCTGTCCCTGTGATGTCGGGACGTACGGGCGTCGGAACCGGCGGCAAATTTGAAATTTTAAAAAAATGTCTTTTTTTTAAAACAATAATTACATAGCAAAACATTGCTGTTTCAAAGCATTTCACATACATTTTGTGCCCTGCCTGCATTTTGGCTGTTCTTTCTGCCTGGAAAGTGGGAAAAGTCCATAGCGTCCAAAAAGCGTCCCTTTAGGTCAAAATCGGTTTTAGACCAGCTAGAGAACAGCGATAGTAAATCAGAACCACTTGCAGAATTGAGTAATGATTCGTGGGGAAATTCGTCAGACATTAAAAACGATTCTGCGACTTTGCTCAGCGATGTGGAAACTTGGCGCTATATTTCAAATTTTAGTGTTTTTGGTTTGATTATATTATTGAATAAAATGTATATTATTTTTTAATGATTATTTATTAAATTATAATTTATGATTTCGTGTTTCAAGTTTTATCATATCCGGAATGTTTACTAGACTCTTGTTCGGACAGATTTCAGTGAGTTATTCCTAAAAATGACAGGCCTACAATAAAAAACTACATATTTCCATGCAAAATAATGGTACCGCTTTCAGCACCAAAAATCTGAAATAATCATACCGCCAGGGAGGTTAAAAGAACAAGCTATCCAGCAGAATGTATCAGTTACAGAAATGAGACACACCATTAGTCATCTAAGTCTGTTATTTATCTAGCACTGCCCCTCCCCAAGACTGACAATGCTGCTGTCCAATGGCGCCCCCTGTGCCCTTTCATCCAGAATGGAGGCAATATAGTATAGAAGGTGTGTTAACGACTAGATCACCAGGTAAAAAACAAGGGAAAAAAAAAAAAAAAAAAAAAAAAAAACAATGCAGCCATCATGATTGGTAAGCGGCAAAGTGTGACAATTTTGGTTTTAGGTTTAATACCGGTTTGTTTCTTCTTCCGTTTGTCTTCTACTACACAATGTTTGGGGGTAACTGATACCTTTTTATAGTTTTATTAGCAACCTTGTTAACAATAACAGGTGAGTAAAGGTCAACAATTATGTGATCACCTTAAGATCATACTTCCTGTGGACTGTAAGCCGGTGACTGAACATATTTCTCATTACCAGCATGTAAGAGTCTTCATTGTCTACACTCAAACGATACATCCCCAGAAATTGAGGTAAAAGCGTGCCTCCATGACATTTTACAATATGCTAAAACAGAGAGAAAGAATTGGTTATATATATGTATATATACACACACACACACACACACACACACACACACAGAAAAGTGTCCAAAAAGTAGGAGGGGTTTAATAAATTGTGAAAAGACCTATTCCTGATCTCCTTTCGGGTTACTAATTATAAAGAGAAACAATTAAAACACGTCTTCAAATGTAGTAACAAATGAATACACTATATAGCCTGGGGGGTTGGGGCAGTCATATTGTCATTGTTAGGCTATAGCAGCAATGGGCAAACTACAGCCCGGCGGACCTTTTAATCCGGCCCGGCGGACCTTTTAATCCGGCCCGTGGAGCGTGATGCTGTCAGGATGGCTGTCAGGATGTGTGTAGGCGGGGCAGCGTGACGAACGTGAGGGGAGCTAGGCTCCTCTCACAGTCCGCCCTGAAGACCGGAACGGCGCGGGAACATGGCGAGAGGAACACGCGGAGCAAAGGTAAGTGGATGAATTACTATGGGGGGATGAATTACTATATGGGGGATGAATTACTATATGGGGGATGAATTACTATATGGGGGATGAATTACTATGCTTACTATGGGGGAATATTACTATACTTACTATGGATGACACATACACATCATTCATCTACTCTTGGTCCGGCTCCCGGGTCCAATATATGAACCCATTGCGGCCCTCAAGTCAAAAAGTTTGCCCACCCCTGGGCTATAGCCTTTTTTCGTAGCAATACATTCGGCATGAAGAGCATTAAGATTTGGCATTCTGTTTTCAAATTAGATTATGAAAAGAAATGTTACTGTATTAAAATACAAAAAATACTGTATAATATGAAGTTTTACACACTTGGTGGTAATCAGACAAGATACTGTGTACATTCGCAACATCTTCACTGGATATTTCTTTAACTGCTAGGGTCTTGTCATAAGCGAGAAGAAAGCGGCCATCATGTGCTTCACTTTCACTGTAAGGAGAACTACGTGTTAAGGAAGCCTGGGAAACAAGATAAAGATGAATATTTTTAGTTTTGTATTTCACAAACCAGCGGTAAAACCAAACTGATCTAGACTCTAATGCAAAATTTTAATCAAAGTCCTGTGAGATCCCATCATCATTATGAATACCCAAAAAGCAAACAAACAAAGGCCTCAATCAGTATCAAAAGCTTGCTGGATTCCACCGACTGGGAAAAGATGAGCATTCCTGAATCAGAAGCAGAGTAAAGCCATAGGCCTTATACAAGCTGCTATGACTGTTACACCACTGCCCTGATTGTATTACAGTTGGCTACAAAGGGGGCTATATACACACAAAACACAACTCACATACATACATATAGACACGCACAGACACAGAATATTATGAACATTAACAGGTAAAGCGCATAACCCCGATTTCATTAAAATGGCATCTGAATGTGTGTGGGATATACAGTATTAGGCAACAAATGAACATTGTCCATGAAGCTGATGTGCTGAAAGCAGAAAAACTGGACAAGCCAAAAGGATTTGAGCGACTTTGCCAGGGGCCAAATTGTAATAGCTAGATGTCTGGGTCAGAGCAACTCCAAAACTCCAGCTTGTATGAGATATCCAGGTCTGCAGTGGTCAAGACCTACCAAAAGTGGTCCAAGAAAGGAAAACCAGCAGACCACTGACAGAGCTAAAATTCACTGATGCACATGGGGACTGGATGCTGGCCTGTGTAGTCTGATCCCACAGAAGAGACACGTTAGCTCAAATTGCTGAAAAAGTTCATGCCTGTTTTGATACAAAGGTGTCAGAAAACAGAGCATTGGAGTTTGTTGTGCATGCGGCGTAGCTACCTACAATGCGCACATGAGCATCAGAACTGGACCCACAGAGCAATAAAAGAAGGTGACCTTGTCTGATGAATCGTGTTTTCTTTTGCATCATGTGGATTGCTGGGTGAGCGTGTGTCGCTTACCTGGTGAAAAAGATGGCATTTTAAATTTAAAAAATAAGCATCTTATACTTACCTGCTCTTTGTGATGGCCTTCCTCTTCTGTGGTTCCTGTCGGTGCTCCTCCCCCCCGCTGAGTGCCAAACAGATCATAGTTCAGACCTGCCCCCCACTCCCTCCTCACTGGCTGTGTTTGACAGCAGCAGGAGCCAATGGTCACCACTGCTGCCTCTTTGCCCAGTTAGGAGGGGGAGAGCTGCTGCTCTCATGCACAGTGCTGGACTGAGATCAGGCTCAGGTAAATATAAGGTGGGGGACACCGAGGTGTTTTACCTTTATGCATAGAATGCATTAGGGTAAAACATTTTACCTTTAGAACCACTTTAATGGTTCAAAAACATGGCATTTTACATTTACTTAAAAACTGTAAATTGTAGCTGAAGAACACATTCACATACTGTTAACAAAAGGGCACTCCAGACTGCTGGTGGTAGATTTGTTCTTTATTGCCTTAGCAATACACATTTAAGGGAAACAGTTCTTTGTATGTGTATGTACAGTGCATTCCTAAAAATATGCAGACCCCCTTCACTTTTTTTCAATTGTGTTATGTTGCAGCCTGATACTACAGTTGTTTAAACATTTTTCTCATTAAAGTGGAGCCCCAGTCAAAATCGGAAAAAAATAAGTCAGCAGATACAAAAGCTAGCTACTGACTTTAAAAAAAAAAACAGCTACCCACCTGTCCTACAATCCAGCGTGTGTTCACACCAGACGCGGGGTTGCTGGCCATCCTCTCTCCCCAGCACCAGCATCTTAAGTGTCGGCAGCTGGCTGTGACAGCTTGCGGCTTCACAGCTAGATGCCCCACTACGCATGCGCAGGTAGAAATTTACCATGTGAATGATCCCGTAGGTCTTCTGAGATCTGTCGCATGTCCCAGAAGACTGCAGGGAGGACAAAGTCTGCTTCTGATCACCTAAGCAGTTGGAGCAGAAGTGGGAGTGGGTACCTGTCAAAATCGGGTACCCGTCCAAAAAGTGCCAATTCCTCACGGGGAGTGGGGGACCAGTCCTTAAAGCGGAACTTCCCCTTTTGGGTGGAGCTCCGCTTTAATCTACACTCAGTATTCCATGATGACAATGTGAGAACAGAGTTTTAAAAAGATTTGCAAATTTATGAAGAAGTAAAAACTGAAATATCACATTGGCATACGTATTCAGACCCTTTGCAACAACACTTGAAATTTAGCTTAGGTGCCTCCCATTTCTCTTGATAGCTGCTGGGATGTTTCTATAACTTCACTGAGTCCACCTGTGATAAAATAAATTAATAGGACATGATTTGGAAAGGCATACATCTCTCTATAAAAAGGCCTCACAACTGGCAATGCATACTGCATCAGAGCAAAAGCCATGATATCAAAAAGGAACTACCTGCATAGCTGAGAGACAGGATCAATCCATGGCACAGATCTGAAGAAGGCTACAAAAAAATGTTCTGCTGCACTGAAGGTTTACAAGATCACAGTGGCTCCACAATTCTAAAATAAAAGACGTTTGGCAATACCAGGACTCTTCCAAGAACTGGTCACCGGGCTAAACTTAGCAAATGGGGAAGAAAGGCCTTAAAATAAGAGGTGAACCAAGAACCCAATGGTTACTGAATGAGCTCCAGAGATCCAGTGTGGAGATGGGACAAAGTTCCAGAAGGACAACCATCATTGCAACTCTCCACCGATCTGGGATTTATAGAAGAGTGGCTGGACAGAAGCCTCTGCTTAACACATGAAAGGCCGCTTGGAGTTTGCCAAAAAAGCAACTGAAGGACTGAGTCTGTGAGAAACAAAACTCTCTGAATTCAAGACTGAACTGTTTGGCCTCAATTCTAGAAACATTATGTCTGGAGGAAACCAGGCACCTCTCATCATCTGCCCAATAACATCCAAACAGTGAAGCATGGTGGTGGCAGCATAACGCCATAGGTGTAGGGACATTTAGCCATGTGAACTAACCGTGCTTCGTGACATGCTTAGCACTGTGCATTACAACATCCCCCGATCCTCCGCCCCCACCCTGTGCACTCCCTCACTCCCAGAAATATGTTAGTAGATTTTTACTCCAGGAGTATAAGAGTTTGAAAGTTCTAGAGAAATGCTTAAACGATGCGTTACAATTTAACTAAACCCATTAGATTTTAGTCGACTAAACTAAAACTGTAGTTTTAGTCAACTAAAATGTACCGGACATTTTAGTTGACTAAAATATGACTAAAACTAAAATGGCATTTTGGTCAACAAAGTCTAAATTCGAAATCTACAAACTATGACCCTCCAGCTGTTGAAGTACTACAAATCACATCATGCCTCTGGGAGTCTTGCCTGTGGCTGTCAGTCTTGCAAGGCCTCATGGGACTTGCAGTTCCTCAACACCTGGAGGGCCAAAGTTTGGAGAATCCTGGTCTGAATCAAAATTTGACTTCAAAATTAACACTGCCTTAGGCCCAGTCTGAGGTGCTGAGCACTGAGGAACATGTTTTCATTAAGAATATTGTTTTACTTTGCTCCATTTAGCTTTCCCTTAACCCTGACCAGTCTTCCAGTACCTGCTGCTGCTAATAAAAAAACAAAGAAAAAAAAAAAAAAAAAAAACACCACACCTTACACTTTTGTTCATTAAGGATTTAGTCTAGTTTTCAGTTTTTTCATGGAAAACATGCTACTGATGAAAAAGTATGACAAAAATATTTTCGGCAACAAAATTAACACTGGCTGAAGGTTCACATTCCACCAAACAAAACAAAATGGTGAAATGCAACAAATAAATCAAAAATGCCTCTGTCCTTTACAAGGCTGTCCTTGGGCATAACGCATATAGGAAAGAGCCACATTCATGATGCCATTTCTGGTTGGGCAGTCCAGACCCGCGAGGTTATTTTAATGTGCTATTTGAGCATCTGTTTTTTAGTTTTAGGTGTTTTTATGCCATTTATTAAATTGAGTATATACAGAGAACATCACATGTCCTCCATTTTATGCTTTGCATATGCCATGAACTGCTCTGAGGAAAGAGTGATGAGAACTGTCATTTTTTGCCCATGCACCACTGACCTTTGAGAGTATAGAGCCCCAGCAGGAAACCTAAAGCATTTAATAGACCTCAAGTGATTGGGAGGTCTTGGAAGGAGGTGAGCATTCATTTTTTTTTTTGCATGTGTCTGCATGCTTGGGGACATTCCAGGATAAGGATCACATCTTAGAGCATGGTTTTGGCACCTGTTGTGCTTTCACTGAATGTGTGTTTTCATGCTGTTCACTTATGCTTGAGTATATACAGACAGCACTATTTGCTTCCCACTTTAAAATGGCTGATATGCTATCAATTGTTATGAGGAGAGAGCTTTGTGATACCTGCTACCAGCCATCCATATGCTGCAATTCATTGAGGATTTGGGGCCAAGCAGGAGACATGTTTCAGCGCTTGTCTGACCTCATTTGAACAGAGTTCATTTAAGGAGGTGAGCATTCATTTGCACATAGGCTGTATGCATGTATGGTGATACTCAGGAAGAGTATAATAATTTAAAGCACTGATTAATGGACACATTGGACATTTTTTTTTATTATTTGTAGCGGTGCACCATTTTTTGTTTTGTTTATGTTGGAAAGTGAACATTTCGCCCAATCTGATACGGCACTGCGTTATGTTAACTGACAATTGCCCAGACACCCAAATGAAATTAATGTTTTTTTTCCCCCTCATAAATGGAGCTTTCTTTCGGTGGTATTTGATCGCCTTTGTGGTTATTTTTTGCACACAAAAAAAAAAAAAAAAAATTAGTCATAAATTTAGGCCAAAATGTATTCTGTTACATGTCTTTGCAAAAACGTGTATATTAATTGGCTTGCGTGAAAGTTATAGTATCTACAGATGGTATATATACACTGGAATTTTTTTTTTCTTTTAATTCTAATAATGGCAGTGATCAGAGACTTAAAGCAGAACTACGGGACTGCGGCAGGCATTCTGACACTGGGGGGGAGGAAGATTAACTGTTACTGACATCCCCAG